GGGGTAGGGGAGGCCTCCTGCTCAGTATTTTGGATGTTAAAGCATTTAGTGGGTTACCAGGGAATAGTTTCTGTTGTCCATCTACAACAGCTGCTGGTCAATGGCTGCTCTAGAAACAAGAATGGAGGCACGTTTACACTCCATTACCATCCAGAGTAGTAAGTGGCCCCTAATGCTTTGAGAAACTTGTTAACATGGACTTATATACTTAGATGTGTCTTTGTGCCTCTTCAAAACCAAGATAAGGCCATGCTATACCGGAAATGCCCCTGGCCTGAAAAGGAACACGGGCACCACATCCTGGCTCCGCCCTGGCTCACCCAGCCACTTAAGAGACTTACTTAACTTCCTTCTCAGCCTGTGCCTCTCTGCTAATAGGGGCCAATAATGCCTAGTTTCTTGACTCTCAAACATCCATCGATGGCTCTGTCAGTTTTAGCTCACAATGAAGTTTTCAGCGGCCTATGACGAAACTGTGACAGTAATGAAGTAAACAACATAGTAAATTTTTACCAAGTTAACTGTGTTCAATTTAAAGACCTATGTTTTGTTCCAAAATTATGACAATCCAAAGTTTTATAGTATTAAAATCCCCTTTTATGGAATGACAGTGAAACAGACTATAGTCATTATTTAATGATCTAATAAGTTTCTTGTTTTTATGTCCTTGTTTAGCAAAATAAGGAGTTGGCAGCCTTATATTGGTCACTGCATTTTGTTTTTATGCTAGTCTGGGCAATCCTAATCTCAGAATCACTGGCCTGGATCGTAGCTTGTTATGAGGACTGAAAGACCATATGCGAAAGTGTATCACTATGATGGATAAGGATGCCCCAATGTAACATGTCATTATAAACATTACCTCCAGCAATAATTCTCTCAATGTTCCTAGGAATATATGGAGACCCTCGGGTTGGAGAGTTGAATGCTCTTGGTTTATTTTCCATCTGTAAGAGAACTCTTCACTAAATTTTCACAAGCAAAATAAAACAGTTATATCTTTAAGGAAGAGAAGAGAAAAAATTTAAATTCTTCTTTTGGTTTAGATTTCTTCCTGCTCCTGTAGAATACCTTGCTACTCTGATCTGACTTCCTTTGTTTATTTTTTTTACTGTTATTAGTACATGTTTGCAGTATATAATGATTACATTCATTGTAGGGAATTGGTATATGTACATAACACATTTTGATTTTTTCCCCTTTCCTCCACCTCCCTTTTATTTCTCCAGCCTCAGATTCATCTACTTATCTTATAATACCTTAGTTAATTATCATATATACAGATTAAAAGCCAGACTAATAGGCCAAAAAACACAAAACATGTAAGACAATTGTACTATGTCAAGGTGCACTTTTAGATCCAGCACATTATCTGCACTGGACTACAGTAATTTTTTTCTGTCTCTTTTTTCCTGTTATCTGTCCTTCATTTTCTATTATCTGTCTTTCATAGATATTCAGTTTTTGCTGGGCATGGTGGCACACGCCTGTAATCCCAGCACTTGGGAGGCTGAGGCAGGAGAATCATCATGAGTTTGAGGCCAACCTGGGTTACATAGTGAGTTCAAGGCCAGCCTGAACTAAGCAGCGGGACTGTGTCTCAAAAATATATATATGTATATATTATATATATATCAGTTTTTCATATAAGAGAAACCAGGTGATATTTAAGCTTATTTTTAATGTGTCTGAGTTACTTCACTTAACACTATGTTCTAAAGGTGCACCCAGTTTCCCACAAAAGATTCAAGTTTAAATTTTCATTGTTAGAAGTCAGGACTTTTCCCTTTGCACCTCTGAAGTTCTCTCTTTCTCTCTCTCTCTCTCATCCCTCTCTCTCATTCAGGGCTCTCATCCCAGAGCCTTCATATTATATTCTCCATCCTTTTTTATTATTTTGTGGCAGGGTCTTCCTAAATTGGCAGGTAGGACTTGAACTTCTGATACTCCTGCCTCAGCCTCATGCTAGGCCTGTTTCACAGTGGTGTGCTTGGGAAAGACTTTGTCCTAAGTTATAGTTTCTCTTCTGCAGTTATCACAAGAAGTTGCAACTAGACATAGGGCAGGAAAACACTGAAACGATCCTAACATAGCAGGATGTGTGTGGAAAGACACCTCTTTGTTTGGCTTTAGTTTGGAAATTACTAATGTGGTGGTCAGAGGGTCTTCTTGACACTATAGCAAGAATCACTGCTCTTCAAGTTTGTGTTTTTGATCTTGTACAAAAATAAGCTTTGGGTTTGTTTTTTATTGTTGTTGTTTTTTGGTTTTTGGTTGTTTGTTTCTCTTTTGGACTTAAAACAGCTGGTTTGAGATCAACTTACTACCCTTCTTAGTGTTAACCATTTCTCTGCAAGTTCTTGATCTCACTACTGCCACAGTAGGAAGAGGACTGGAGTTCCTCGGATGGAGATAACACTGGTGTTGCATGTACTTGGGCAATGAGAGTTTTCGATCCTAAAATGATTATTATTGGTCCCATACTCTGGTGTCTACGGACACCAGTCTGGAGATCCCACACTGTGAAGTGCTCTGTTCTATATTGTGATGGTTCACAGTGGACGAAGCCAAGATGGTTCCTGCCTTCTAAACGCTTTTTATTCCAAAGGGGGAAGCAAGACTACCTGACATATAGTTTTGCGAATATGCATTCGCCACAACATTTATGTGGATACAGGAGGGAAATCCTAAAAGGAAACCCTAAAAGGACGAATACGGTGCCATACAGATAAGGTTAACCCAACTGAGTTGATATTCGGTGGGGGCAAGATATTAACAAAATGTAAGGTTAAGTAAGATATTATTAGTAAGATATTAGACTTAGAATACATTAAAGCCAGATTTGTTCTTATAGGAGAAAATTATTAAAATTGTGGGTTGTTTATTTTTTAGTACCAGGGATCGAACTGGGGTCCTTGCGCTTGCACAGTGGACAGCAAAACCACTGAGCTAAATCCCCGGCCCCTAAAACTGTGGCTTTAACATAAATTTTAGACTAAACTGGTTGATAAATAGACATTTTCCTGGCTCTGCCACCAATGGGCTTCATGCTTGGGCTGCTTACCCAAATGTGATGTTTCCCACCTGCTTTCCTGAAGGTGATACGAATGGCTGCCACTCCTTACACAAGCGCTAGGTTTAACTGTAGTTTGAGAGCATTAAAAGTGTACACTGGCTGCGAGTCTGAGCTGCTGGTTCACCTCCTCCCTACTCTCCAGTCCTCGTTCCTACAAGGAATTCTTCCCAAAGCCAGATCATAACTGAGGATGTCACAGCTGCCCTCACCTTCCCAGGAGGAGAGAAGCCACTGTGGGACAGCTTACCTACCTGGGCGTTCCTGGGGCTCTGAGAGGAGGATGCCCTCTGCTCTCCACACCCAGAGAGCACACACAGGCTGGACACGACCTGTGTACCCTGCCACCAGGCTGTCTGGTCAGGGTCCAAAACACAGGATGGCAGGAGCTTTAAAAAAAATCCCATTTTGTTTCTCCTTCCCTCAAAATAAAAAAGAGACCTAATTTAAGATACTGCTTCTCATTACTTAAGTGTTTAACAAATATCACTGCCTTAAAAGCAGTGGGCATATTCCTTAGCCCCATGGGCCCCTGACCCCATAAGGTGCAGTGTGGCTGGAAGAAGCCAAGAGGGGGTCTTCTACACGGGCTTCTGCCCTGGCCTAAGACCAGTGATGAGCAAATGCCACAACTCGAGAGACATTCCGGTTAGAGAAGCAACTGTGCCAAACTGAGGTGGAAATCTCTTATCATGGTCCTTCACAGACTACATGTTTGCACCGAATGAATGATACAGTTTTCACATATCCTGAGTCCAGTAGCCATTGTCGTCTGGCAGCATTACATGCTATCATATCGAGTGGCATTTTTTTTCTGAGACCAGAATTTTAGCTCTGTTGAAATGATCACATGGTGCAGTCCCCGAAATCTTTTCATGCTATGAAACACTGAAAGAACCCTAGTAGTCCTTCCTCATTCTGTAACATGAGTCCTTCCTAAAGCACTCTCCATTCTTCTGATTTAAAACAGTAATAATAAAAATATGCTTCCCTCAATTTGTAAAACTATTAAGAAAGGTTTCCAGGTTTCAACCTTGAGAAGAGAAAGCATAAATTAGAGCATGGAAGCCAGAAAAGTGTGTGGCTCTGGTTGCAGGCAGTATTTCTCAATGGTGTAATAAAAAGAGTCCAGCCTTAGGATCAGACACAGCACTGCTGCTGTTTAGCCATCTGATCTTACACTATCTGTATAGCCTCTCAGAGCCTCAAGTTTCTCATGTGTTGTAATCAAATTAGTTACATATATTTACCAAGCTCCACGTGCTGGGCAGTGTGGCAGGCATTGACTATATAGCATTAATGAATACAGGTATGGTCCCTACCATCATGAAGATTACAGTCTAGCAGGATCAAATTAAGTGAAATAACATAATATCAAATGTCAGTCCTATAGATCTTCAATGACTGCGAGGTGTTTTCCATTCCCCTTAAAACACATGATCATCACATATTTCAGCGTGGTCAAAAAATCGGATACAGACAATTTCATACATACAAGAAATCTGTTGGAGGGCATTAGTAGGGGGTATTTTTTCAGCATTTTGTCTCATGAAACTTCAATCAACACATGGTCTTGATTTTCTTCCATGCTCTTGTCAGTCCAGATAACCATGGGTTTCTAATTATGGCCCACAATAAATCATTTCTGGTAGAGTTCAAGGAACTTTGCAGATGTCATAGTTTTGTGACGTGAATGAGAGTGGGTATTGCTATTAAATCCATTTTACATTTAAGAAGCTCGTGGAAGCAGATTCTTTTATGCCTCTTTTGTTCCCTAGGGCCAGCCTGCTCAATAGTTGCAATCCACATGTTGACTGTTCGGCAACCCGGAAAAGAGAGGTACCCCTAGAGTTAGGGTGGCAAAGATCCACTCAGGATTGCACTGTGGCCTCTCAGCTTTTGCCTTCTCCTTCCCAGGTGGTAAACAATGGGCGATTGGAGTTTCCTGGGGAACATCTTGGAGGAGGTGAATGAGCACTCCACAGTTATCGGCAGAGTCTGGCTTACTGTGCTTTTCATCTTTCGGATCCTCATCCTCGGCACAGCTGCAGAGTTTGTGTGGGGGGACGAGCAGTCTGACTTTGTGTGCAACACCCAGCAGCCTGGCTGTGAGAACGTCTGCTACGACGAGGCCTTCCCCATCTCCCACATCCGCCTCTGGGTCCTGCAGATCATTTTCGTCTCCACGCCATCCCTCATGTACGTGGGACATGCAGTGCATTATGTCCGCATGGAGGAGAAGCGGAAGGACCGCGAGGCAGAAGAGGTGTCCCAGCAGTCCCGGAGCAATGGCTGTGAGAGGGGGCCACTGGCCCCAGACCAGGCCAGCATCAGGAAGAGCAATAGCAGCAGCAAAGGCACCAAGAAGTTCCGGCTAGAAGGGACTCTGCTGAGGACCTACGTCTGCCACATCATCTTCAAGACCCTCTTTGAGGTAGGCTTCATAGTGGGCCATTACTTCCTGTATGGTTTCCGGATCCTGCCCCTCTATCGCTGCAGCCGGTGGCCCTGCCCCAACGTGGTAGATTGCTTTGTGTCCCGGCCCACTGAGAAAACCATCTTCATCCTGTTCATGTTGTCTGTGGCCTTTGTGTCCCTCTTCCTCAATATCTTGGAGATGAGCCACCTGGGTCTGAAAGGAATCCGGTCTGCCTTCAAGAGGCCTGTAGAGCAGCCAGTGGGAGAGATTCCTGAGAAATCTCTCCACTCCATTGCTGCCTCCTCCATCCAGAAAGCCAAGGGCTACCAGCTCCTGGAAGAAGAGAAAATTGTGTCCCACTATTTCCCTTTAACTGAAGTTGGGATGGTGCAGACCAGCCCACTTTCTGCCAAACCTTTCAGTCAATTTGAAGAGAAGACTGGCACAGGACCCCTGGCTGATATATCCAGGAGTTACCAAGAAACACTGCCTTCTTATGCTCAGGTGGGGGCACAGGAAGTGGAGGGAGAGCAGCAGCCTGTAGAGGAGACAACAGAACCAGAAGTAGAAGAGAAGAAGCCAGAAGCGGAGAAGGTGACTTTGGAAGTGCAGGAGGCCATCACAGAGCCAGAAGGGGAGAGAGTAGAGACCCCTGGAGTGGGAAAGGAGGGTGAAAAAGAAGAGCTGCAGATCGAGAAGGTAACTAAGCAAGGGCTGTCAGCTGAGAAGACACCTTCACTCTGTCCAGAGCTGACAGCTGATGACACCAGGCCCCTGAGCAGGCTCAGCAAAGCCAGCAGCAGGGCCAGGTCAGATGATCTAACAATATGAAGTGGTGCCAAGGAAAGAAAAACCCTTTCACCCCCAGCTAATATAGGGCAAGATAAAACAAGAAAGGCGTAGACAGGCTCTGAGTGTGCTGTCCCCTCCGGTCACTCTCTAATTGGACAGATGCTGCAAAGAAACAGTGCATGCTGTACAACTAGGAAACTGCCTCTCCCATATTTAAGGGGTACCAAAGTAAACATGTTGTTTCTTTAAAGTTCCCAGTCTCATATGACTCTCCTGTTCCTCTATCCCAATTCTATGGGGATGTCGCTTTCATTTCCATTTCTCCATGGAAACTCTTCCAATCAGAACTCCAGGAAGCAGTTTACCTCAGAGCCTTTCACCAGTTTCATCTCAAGCTCACTAATTCAGCCAAACTCTATGACCCCAGCATTTCTCTAGCAGATACTATGTGCCTATATATCAAGATCTCGAACTCAGTTGCTTACAGGATCCTGCAGCCGGCGATTTAAATTGGTGAAGTAGGCCTGCTTTGGTGCAGTGGAAAGGGTCAGGGCTGTGAAAGTTGAAAAGCAGGAGCAGCTACTGGTCAGTTCTAGGTAATGATGACTTCGCAATGTTACCTAGCCACCTGATTTTTCAAGAAAAGCCAGAAATTCAAAGTTTTAATCAAAATTTCCAAAAACGTTAATGTTGGCATCTGTTTTAAATATAACACTTGGGCCAAATAAAATGTGTACCAACCAAATTTAACTTGTGGGGCACCAATTTGCAAGGTTAGCTTACATTAATGAGCCCAATTTTCCTGCAAAGTTGGTTGCATTATTTATAGTCTTGACTTATTTATGTGGCTCCCGAGCCTCACTTTACCACTTTGGAGTGTTTAGTTTAAAGCATCAGTCCTAGAGATATTCAGGGTTCTTACTGACCCTTCTTTTGAGTCACTGTAGCCCCTGGGTTCTGAAGCAATGATATCCTTGTTAGTGAAAGGAATTCTTCATGGGCACCTTCAGAGAAAGATCAAGACACCAAAACTTGTCCCTGTGATGTTAAAAGGCTTTAAGCTTTGAGGCTTGGTCATAATTTCCTTCCCTGAATTAACAATGATCCTTTTTTAAAATTCTCCTCTTCCACCATCAGTGCTTAGCCTAAAATCTGTACCTTTCATCAGGGGCTGGGCAATTCCAAACTGAAGATCAGGAACCTGCCCCGAAGAGAATCAGTTGTCAGGCCTCCCTTAGGCACAAGACAAGTACCAAAATAGCCATTAGAGTGTCACTAGGGGGTGCCTATAAACTGGGTGCTCACACAGTTAGGGTCCAGTCCTAGGCCAGGCTTCATCCTTGAAAGGGAGAGAAAGGCTAAAGAAAATAAGAGGAATCTCATAGGCCTTCTCCCTGTATCCCCACAACTGATTCACCTCAATATCGAGTCCAGTCAGGGGAAATCCTCAGGAACAAGTACATATTTTGCACTGGATGTAATTTTACCCGGAGCCAACCAATTTCCAGAGCAGAAAGAAAGTAGTAACTAAGATGGTTTGTTTAAAGCAAAATTATGCCTTGTGTACCGCAGTGCTGAGGATAGGGTAGCAGGTGTAGAGAACAAGTTGACATGCCGGAGACCTGGAGAGGAGACCACCAGGGGCTCGAAAAAGGCATCCAGAAAAACTGCCATTGTTCTGTCTTCTGCCCTGCCACCACCATGCCAAAATATGGAAGTCTCTTTTTCTACATTCTGGGTATCATCTTCCTTTTAACATATCCATTCTAGATATGGTTTTCCGAAGCAAGCCTTCTCTAAAACTATTCCTCTCCATGACACTCAATATTTCCCTTCTTTCATGACCCATTCTAAAGCAAAACGATTAGAAACTTAAATTCATTCTAAGGCACGATCTCTTGATAATTACTCCTTGGAAATTTGCATTTAAAAGAGAAAGCCTAAAATATCTATTCGCCTGGGATGATCAAAGTGACAGCTTTCAATGGAGGAATGTATCGGGCAATGGACAACTGAGTAGAAGAAATATAGTTACCTTCTAGACGTGACTTTCTAACTACCCCTCGCAGATAAGGTTATTCAAACACAAACCTTAACGTGTTGGTTGAGAAATGTAACAAAATCCCAAGCCTGAGAACCCAAGAGTGGCTCCTTGACCCCAAAGGCTGCACTGCTGCTCGTACAGTTTGCTTCCATTTTAGTGACAGCCATCTTGATCAGTACTAGAAAAAGGTGTTTTTCTCAACTAGGACTGAGTACAAAAAAGAAAAACTATATCTTGTTCCAAGTGAAACTGCTAGTAGTGTTTGGAACCAGTTCCAGGGCCGTAGGTGAGGGCTGCTGGTCTCCTTGCTTTGCTGGGACGTAAAAGTGTGTGTCTTTCCTCAGATGAAGCCGCATCCTGCTTCTGTGCTCATATCTGCTCTGCTCCACAACAGATGCCATCTTCATCAAAAAGAGCCTGTTTTGGAAAAAATAGATAGAGGCATCAGGGACTGGGATTTTCTATTTCTGCCATACTAGTAGGTTACTATTGTCCCTTAACCTCTTATACCTCAGTTTTCTGTCTACAAACTAGAGATGGCATTTGCCACCTACCTACCTACCTCCAGGGATATCAGAAGGGCTAAAGAGTTGGCTGCCACACCTGGAACCTGCTGAGTGGTGCCGCTCTCTGAGAAATTCCTCCAACAGCAATAAGACTGGGAAGAAGGGTAGGTGGGTGGTTTCCATCTTGGCCCTGCTGGCCTGCCTGGCCATAACCTGATGAGAGTTTTTCAGTGTGGAAAAACTCTGGAGATCAGTTTTCTCAGAGAAGACTCAGAACAAAACCTCAACTCCATATGTTTAGTAGGAACTTGAGATTCTTTGACCCTAAGAAATTAGTGAAGACAAAATGGCAAAGACTTTCATCCTCTGGAATAAGGTGGCCCATCCTAAGCTGCCAAACAACTGCTGCCAGGTTCCATTCGGAGGCCGCTGCACGCCTGTGCTCTATGCAGCTGCCTCCTTCAGCATCTGTTTTCAAGCAAATAATTATAACTTGGGATTATAATCCCCGTGGGATCCATTAGGTCCAGCTTTAGTTCCTGCTCCTAATCAGTCCCTTGTTAGATAAATCTGGTATGACCGCATGGCCATACCAATAAAAACATACTGTGCAGTAGGACGGCAGAAGTGTGGCTCCTTCCAGAGGCAAAGGGCTAACCATGTGGTGGATGTTATCGCACTCCCATCGGGAGAGATCCATGCCCAGGATGCAGATAATTTCAAGCTTGGCTGTGTGATTCTTGAGCCTAGCATTTCGAGCATTGTTTAAAAGAAAAAAGTCCTATCTCCTTTTCACCATGCCTGAGCCTCGTCACACAGGTGAAGCATCCAACACAGCACTGGATAAACATTTCTGAAAGTTGGAGTGGCCCAGGGACCCACAAAGAACAGTGACATTGGGGTCAGGAGCGTTGGCCGTCCCTCACTGAAGCTGGGGGTGCCGATCTGTGACTTACCTGCTCTATGTGACACTTTTCTCGGTATTAATTGTGAATAATAATAAGGCGTTAAAGGTCTTTTTAAACACTCACTAATTTGGAAATGAAAGAAGGCATTCTCAAAATTTATAAATCCATGTTGTAAAATGTACACAATGATAATCATCACTTTTATATACTGCACAGATTAAAATAATGATTTAAAGTGAGATGATAAGTAAAATGAGGGCAGTAAATTAGGGGTGATAGTAATCTGACTTCCTAAGGATTATAGTACAGGGCCAGGGATTTAGCTCAGCGTTTCCGCCGCCTGCCTCAAAAGTGCAAGGTCCCAAGTTCGATCCCTGGTACCAACAAAAGGATTATAGTACAAAGAACATCTTCAATCATGTGAGAATTAGTTGCTGAAGTGGTGCTGAAGGTTCTCAGCTTATCAGAGCCCAGGTACAGGCACACATCAGCCCCTGACAGTCTCCAACTCACAGAGGAAGAGAGTGCACGCAGAGTGAAAGGAGCCTTAGGCACAAGCTCTCACCCAAGCCATGTGGAAGCCCGAGGGCAAGACAAAAGCCGATTACACGCCTCTCTAGGGTTTTTGAGGGGGTGGATTTTGGGGGGGCGGTTTTTGGTACCGGGGATCATCCTGTCTAGTTTTTGAGGAGGGTCATCAAACATGCATGGGGTAAAAATGAGCCCAAGACTCCAACAGCATCTTCCATGCACCACCCTAACCTACTCCTCTCTTCTTCCCTTGAATTACCTTGCTATGCAAATGATGACATACTCCAAGTTAGCAAAGTCTAGATGGAAAAGATTTGCTTGGTTGGATGGACAACTCCTGAGTGTAAATATAGTCTGTAAAATATAGTAAGTGTGTGCCTCAAAGTGAAAGTATAGATAGGGAGATTTTTTTCCTTCTCAAAATTATTATATTACAGCTAAATATGAACTTGGAGAAGAGAGGAGAACAAGGAAATGAGATTCTAGTTCCAGCAGTTTGATTAGAGGAAAGAAAATCTTTTATCAAAGATAATTCACTCTCCATTGCCTTAGATACTGCAGCTCCCAAAGCCAAGGAGAGGATGATATTCAGCTCTGACAGTAGCCACAAAGTAACAATGGGACATACTGTAGTCTCTAGCCTCACTGCCTTTTAGAAAAGTTTTCTAGATTAGCAAATGAATTCTAAAAGAATTCATAAATTTGCTGGGAGAGAAAAGCAGATGGTTCCATTGTCTTTTCTGCACATTTTTCGATCTGAAAAATAAGAGAGTAAAGATTCAGCTAAGAGGGCTAAGTATTTAGCTCAGTGGTGCCGCAGCCTGCATCGCAAGCGCAAGGTCTGGAGTTCGATCCCCAGTACAAAAAGAAAAAATAAAAAAATCAGCTAAGAGATACATTCATAGTAAATTTCATGGGGAAATCACTGGCAAAAGAGAGACATTATTGGAATAGTGGTCCTGTGTTTCCAACCCTTCCCTTTCTTGTGTTAGAGCTAACAGTTACATGTTAGACTGTTAACAAACTAACTTGACTTTTAACCATCTTTGT